GGGGGGGGGGGGGGGCGCATTCAGAGTTGCAAGGTTCTGTTACTGTAGCCCTGTAACAAAAGCAGTTTTAGTGTTTGTGACTTTGGGGTTCAAGTCTGGTCTACCTTGCAGGCCTGACATCAACCGAGTTTAGTGGTAAGGGCCCCCGCTGTAGACTTAGCAGCAAGCATGCAAGGGTGTGCCTGTCCCTTCCCAGGGCTGCCCGTGTTCCCCAGGTCATCTGGCTGAAAAGGCTTCTAGATTTCTCCGACCAGAGGGGGAGGCGAGGCCAGCAGTTGGGTGGGGTGTCTGACCGGGCTGGGGGGAGAACCTCAGCTGGTCCAGCAGTGCAGTCCCAGAAAGGGTGGGATGGCCTTCATGGGCTGCCCAGCCCCCTCCCCTTGGCCCAGGACAGAAGGGCAGGACGCCGAGGGCTCCGTGGCCTGTCCCCTCCCCGTGCCTCACTCTCCCCTTCTGCCTGGCAGGAATTCCCAGCGGGAGAGTGGGAGCCCCCAGCCGCGAACCGAGCAAGCAGCCAGTCTGTGAGGTAGGTGGTGGCCAGGCCAAAGCAGAAGGGGGGTGACCCCAAAGAAACGGGGTGGATTGGCAGGGGCCGTTCCCTGCCCCGGGCTTACGGGGCGCTCTGAGTGCCAAGGACCTACAGATCCCGCTTGGCTGCTCCACGTTGCTGCCAGATAGTCTGGAGAAGGTCCGGGGTGGGGCCTTGCGGGGGGAACTTTGCTGGCTGGAAGAGCTGTTCCTGTTCGCGCCCTTGGCCTGTGCGTTTGCCACAGACCGTCTCTGGAGAAGGAGGAGACGCCTTCCCTCCAGTTTCTGGCTTGAAGCCGCTGGCTGGTGGCGTACTTGGCCGCCAGCTGTTTGCTCAGCATGATTGCTGAGGGTCTCTCCTTAAGCAGGAAGCGGGGACACAGATCTGCGCCCGCCTCCCTCTTCCCCGCATAAAGGGTGGCTCCCCAGAGGACAGGTGGCTCTTCCTGAGGCAGCAGGGACAGGGCAGGTATTCTCTGAAAGGCGATTCGGAGCTGGTTAGAAGGAGGTTCTGCTCCCTTGGGCTTGGCTGTGGTAGATCCTTCAGATGCCACAGCGGAGGCCAGATCCTTGGCCTCCCAGGTCAGGAGCTCAGATGATGGCATTCGTACACACCAGCCTGGCAAGCTGCTTGACCTCTCTAGAGCTGGTGCTGCTAGTGTGGACCAAGTGCTGTTGCTTAGCTCTGGTGTCTTCTGGGGAAGGGAGTTGCCTTTTGAGAAGCAGACCAGCTCGTGGAATCGAGGCAGCGTCCACCTGGGCTGCAATTAATCTGCCGTTGTCTCGCAGGGGGACATTAGTGTTCTTGGCCAGAATTGGTGGAGCCCAACCGCTGAGAGACCCTTGTCCCCTCCTCAGAGCGAGGTTGCCTTGATGAGCAGCCCCCGACCTATTGAGCTTGAGGGGCGGTCAGCTCCTCTCCACCGCTGTGTCTTCAGCCCCCTCCTCTTTCTTCCAGTCAGCTCTTGCAGCACAAGGTGGCCTTTGCAAGGGTCAGCCCATTCTGGACCTGCTTTGAGCGCGCTGAACCGGCCTGGCCCCCTTTCTGCCGGGCTGCGTCCACGCGTGACCTCTCCTGGGACTGCGAGCGGCCAAGACGGGCTGTGGAGAAGGTGGGCTCGGAGGCAGGCCCCGGCGAGCCGCGCAAACCCCCCTTGCGTGAAAGGGCCTATTCGGAGAGCCGCCTCTGTGTTGAGCCAGCCGGTGTGTCTGCAAGGGAGTGGCGAGAAGCCCCATCGGCCAAGTTGGAGGAGACGGGACTGAAGTCACCACCATGCCAAGCCAGAAGAAGGGCTCCGCCACCTCCACGGCCCCCTCCGCCCAACTGGGAGAAGTACCGCCTGTCCCGGGCTTCACACCAACAGCTTCTCCCTGCCCACGCTGACCTGCCTGCGCACTCGAATGACTCCTGGGGCACCGGCCAGACCGGCCTTGAAGCAGCCAGGCAGCGTTCTCAGAGCCTGCCTGTGGAGCGGCTGTGGAACAACAGGCTGCAGCTGCAGTGCCCGCCACTACCTTGTGCGGCACCTGGTGGCGCCCCTTCCCTCCCTGAACAAGACAACCCCCTCTACTACTGCCATGGTTCACCACACCGGAGCCTGGAGTGGCTGATGCCCGAGACGAGTGACCGGAGTGGCTCTTCCAGGCAAGTGGCCTCACATTTGGCCTCTGGTGTCCTGGAGCCCAGGCGGCCAGAGGGAGGTCCTGGGGGAGACAGTCCCAGGGGAGGCATTGGCTGAATAAGGGGGGAGCAGCCAGCCCCCTTCCCACGCAGGCATTAGGGTGCCCCCCGAGCAGAGAGACAGGCGGGACCCCTTTCCACCCTTCCCTCTGTCAGTTGTGGTTTTGTCTATGAAAAGGGTCCCCCTCTCTTTCGCCTTCCCTTAAGACAGGAAAGTGCGCAAAAGCCCACTCTTAGAAATCGGTCATCCTCGCAACTCTGCCTGGGCGAGAGGAACAGCGTGGCCTTAACAAGAGCTTGGTTGGTTTTGTGCATACAGGGCAGCCGGTGCCTTGGAGGAGGAAGCCACCAACCGGCCACCCCGGGATGAGGAGCAGGAGAGGCTGGTTGGCAGCCCCTCAGAGCAGCCCCCCAGCCTGCGTAAGTCTGTTTCTGGGTGGGGCGTGGTAGAGGCTCTGCTTGGTGAGCAATGCTGCTGGCTTACGCCTTCTGTGCCCCGCAGACCCCCAGCAGCGTGCGCCTGTATCCAAGGACGCTGCGGGAGAGAGTCGCTGCACCGGCCAGGAAGCAGGGCCACCCCCCCTGCGCCTGAATTCGGAGGAGCTGATGAGAGACGTGGCGGGCAGGGACCGGTCCCTGGCTGGAGTGCTGAGCTCTGGTTTGGGGTTCAGATCAGCTGCCGAGGTGATGGGTGACCTCTTTGCTGCAAGCGATTGCCCCCCATGGAAAGGGCAGGACAGGTCTCCACTGGGGAGTGGCCCCAGTTGCCCCAAAAGGTAGGCCTCTTTGGGCTTTGCAAACTCTGGGGAAGGGAGGGAGACATGGAGAGTCTTGATGTGTGGCACAGCGAGCCTTGTGAGAGCCAGTGGGGTCTATTGCGTGGAACCTGGCTTGGGCAGAGCCGAGTCGGATCCCCGTTCTACCGCCAAGGTCCTTGGGTGATCCCGGGCCAAAGCCTTCTTGCAGGCTGCTGGGATCAGAAAATCGGGGGAGCCACGGACGCGGCTGCCCTGAAGCGATGAGAGATCGGTGTAAATTGCACAGGCAGGCGGGCAACTCGTTGCTTTCTGGCTGCAGCATCTGTTTCCTTGAGTGGATGTTGTGCCTCCTTACCAAAGAGGAAAGTCCCTTCTCTCCCCCTTACGGTTGGTGCCTCCCATAATGCGTCCTCTTGCTGTAGGCAGCAGGTGCCGCTGGAGACCCCGACCCTCGGAGGAGCCGCCAGCCCCACCTCCCGCTTGACGTACTACAACCTGTCGGCAGGCAAGGCCGAGCTGCTGAATAAGATGAAGGACCGTGCTGAGCTGGCTGTGGCCCATTCAGAAGAGGAGGAGCTGGACCATGACCTGGCTCAGAAGAAGGCAAGCTTTC